ACGACGCCGTGGTCATCTGCACGCCAATGGTCCGTCATGTCCGTGCAGCCTCAGGTAAGGATAAGGTGTGCACTTTCCTGGTGCTCATGTTCTTGATGTCGCTGCACAGGTTCCCGAGATCCTGAACGGTGATGAGCGCGTCTGAGCTGTTGTGCTGAACGTGTGAGCGAACGACAACAGGCTGAGGTTCTGAAGGACTACAGGAGCCTAAACGAGACGGTACGCAACACATCGCCTGAAGCAACGAGCCTTGCACATCTAACCCTTACTGGGGCTTCTTTAAATCTTTTCTAGATTTTTTTTTTTCGACTAAGTTTCACTAGTCGTCTTCTAATTTATTTATCTTTAAAAAAGAAAATAAATTTCTAATCCTTAAGCACATCCACGCACACGCTATTTAGCTGGCGCTTAACTGTTCAATTACTGGCCAGAATTGAACAGTTAAAGCCCCACGCTGGGCGCCATGTTTTACGGTGTGTGCTTTAATCTTAACACCTTTTAACCTTATTATTTATTATCCTCCGGTTAGGTCGAGTAAGTCAAATCTGCCCTAAATCATTAGCATCCGATTGGTATTTACAATTGTTCAGATGACTTCTCTGTGGTCAGTTTTTGCTTAAGGTTTATTAACACTGCTAGATGATTACTTGTAATTAGCATTAGTTATTTATTAATGTAAATATTCCAGAAAGAAAAGTCAGGCTCAAACTTAAATTCTTTATTCTCAAACTCTGGAATCTACTCCTGTGTAAGGGAAATCATTATTGACATCAGCTATGCTAATTATTTCCCATCTGTTTTCTGCTGTTATCTCGGGACGCTTGTCCCGAGAAAAATGGCGTTCGTCAACTTCAGTTTGTCGGAGCTGCTGTACTGCAAGTGGGAGTGAAAGACATCAGGCTGAGGTTCTGAAGAAGTTCTACAGGAGCCTGATCGAGACGGTACGCTACACATCGCCTGAAGCAACGATCATGGTGTCTGGGCCGCTTCCCACGTACAGACAAGGACAGGAAAGGTTCAGTAGATTATTTGCACACACCCAATAAATGGTAAGTCAAAGTCCAAATCACAGTCTTTGTTGTCCAAACTTAATTGATATGCTTAGTGTGGAACATTATATTGAAACTGTGTCTGTTGCTTGTTTAGTGACGCCTGTGGAGAGACTACTTGATGCCTGTGGAGAGACGACTCTCCCTGTGAGCTGCTGGATCGGCGGTCAGTGCTTGAAACATCACAAGATGATGCTCACAAGTCAGTGGTTAGTTACTATTTGACTGACTTCGTCTGCTCCATGCATTTCTCTGCCCAGGAGGACGTGATCATCTCTGGCTTCATTCACTCCGGCACCGACACAACACCATGGATCACACAGCGGAAGACACGAGCCAGTACCAGAGCTAGAACCTCTCCGCCGCCCCTTCTGGTCTTTGAGATCTCGACCCGGAACCGCTTCTCCCCTCTTCGCCAGTCGGAACACAACGCCACCGTGATCATGGGCACGTCCATGGTCCGTCATGTCCGTGCTACCTCAGGTAAGGATAAGGTGCACACTCGCTGCTTTCCTGGTGCTCACGTTCTTGATGTCGCTGCACAGGTTCCCGAGATCCTGAACGGTGATGAGTGCGTTGGAGCTGTTGTGCTGAACGTGGGAGCGAACGACATCAGGCTGAGGTTCTGAAGGACTACAGGAGCCTGATCGAGACGATACGCAACACATAGCCTGAAGCAACGATATTGTCTGGACGGCTTCCCACTTACAGACGTGACTAGTAAGTCAAGGTCCAAATCACAGTCTTTGTTGTCCAAACTTAATTGATATGCTTTGTGTGGAACATTATATTGAAACTGTGTCTATTCCTCGTTTAGTGACGCCTGTGGAGAGACTACTCTGCCTGTGAGCTGCTGGATCGGGGGTCAGCGCTTGAAACATCGTATGCCGATGCTCACAAGTCAGTGATTAGTTACTCCTTGATTCTGACTTCGTCTACTCCATGCGTTTCTCTGCCCAGGAGGACGCGATCATCTTTGGCTTCATTCAGTCCGGCACTGACACAACACCCTGGATCACACAGCGGAAGACGCGAGCCAAGACCAGAGCTAGAACCTCTCCGCCACCCAGAACTGCTTCTCCCCTCTTCGCGAGTCGGAACGCGACACCACCGTGATCATGGGCACATCCATGGTCCGTCATGTCCGTGCTGCCTCAGGTAAGGATAAGGTGCGCACTCGCTGCTTTCCTGGTACTCATGTTCTTGATGTCGCTGCACAGGTTCCTGAGATCCTGAACGGTGATGAGCGTGTCGGAGCTGTTGTGCTGAACGTGGGAGCGAACGACATCAGGCTGAGGTTCTGAAGAAGGACTACAAGAGCCTGATCAAGACGGTACGCAACGCATTGCCTGAAGCTACGATCGTGTCTGGACCGCTTCCCACTTTCAGACATGACTAGTAAGTCAAAGTCCAAATCAGTTTTAAACTTAATTGATATGCTTAGTGTGGAACATTATATTGAAACTGTGTCTGTTCCTCGTTTAGTGACGCCTGTGGAGAGACGACTCTGCCTGTGAGCTGCTGGATCGGCGGTCAGTGCTTGAAACATCACACGCCGATGCTCACAAGTCAGTGGTTAGTTACTCTTTGACTCTGACTTTGTCTACTCCATGCGTTTCTCTGCCCAGGAGGACGTGATCATCTCTGGCTTCATTCACTCCGGCACAGACAACACCATGGATCACACAGCGGAAGGCACGAGCCAGGACCAGAGCTAGAACCTCTCCGCCGCCCCTCCCGGTCTTTGAGATCTCGACCCGGAACCGCTTCTCCCGTCTTCGCGAGTCGGAACGTGACGCCACCGTGATCATGGGCACATCCATGGTCCGTCATGTCCGTGCTACCTCAGGTAAGGATAAGGTGCGCACTCACTGCTTTCCTGGTGCTCATGTTCTTGATGTTGCTGCACAGGTTCCCGAGATCCTGAACGGTGGCGAGCACGTCTGAGCTGTTGTGCTGCACATGGGAGCGAATGACATCAGGCTGCGGCAGATGGAGGTTCTGAAGGACTACAGGAGCCTGATCGAGATGGTACACAACACATGGCCTGAAGCAACATTCATTGTGTCTAGACCGCTTCCCACGTACAGACAAGAACAGGAAAGGTTCAGTAGATTATTTGCATTAAATGAATGGTTAATGTCATTGTGTAATGAACTGATTCTGCTCTTTGTAAATAATTGGAATCTGTTCTGGGAGAGATCTAGGCTGTATTGTGCGGATGGCCTTTACCCCAGCAGAATCGGAGCGGCTGTTCTGTCGGACATCTCCAAGACGTTACACACCTAATGACTAGTAAGTCAAAGTCCAAATCACAGTCTTTTTTGTTCAAACTTAATTGATATGCTTAATGTGTAACATTTACAGTATATTGAAACTGTGTCTATTCCTCATTTAGTCACGCCTGTGGTGACGACTCGACGCCTGTGAGCTGCTGGATCGGCGGTGTTCTGAATCTGAATCTGGCTGTTGTGTCGGACAACATCTCCAAGACGTTACACACCAGATGACTAGTAAGTCAAAGTCGCTCCTTTGAAAGGAGTGTTTCTCCTGGTTCCATCTCTTGGACTGATGTCTCTGCCTCTAAGGCTATCTTTTGCCATCCTAATAAACGAGAATCACCCCATGTACAGTGCCCTCCACAATTATTGGCACCCCTGTTTAAGATGTGGTCGGACTTTTAAAAATTCTCCCTTTTTTTTAAACAACATAGAACCCAAATGCAAAAAAAGAGAAAAATCCAACCTTTTATTTAAGTACATTACTTTGGTGGTAAAAAAAATGTAAAAATTTAGAAAAATAAAAACTTCAAATCATGTGTCCCACAATTATTGGCACCCCTAACAATTCCGCTGAAAAATGTAAATTGATTTTTAAAAAATATATATTTCTGTAGTTGCTAATGTTGGTCAGGATATTTAGGAACTTTTAATTA